TCTGGAAGCCTAGCTGTCCACCAGAGATTGAGGACTTCTGCCTCTAAAAACTGTATCCTTGTACCACCTAATGCCTTGATTGGCACTCAGCACATACTTTTTGAATATTGAATTATGGTTTATTCTAGAAAGAAATGGGAATTCAAAATTGATGCCTAAAATTATTCCGACTTTGGATATGAAATCCAGTTGTGTCATGACCCTCAGACTCTTGCTTTTGCTCTTTAGGCAACTTATTGGCCATTAGCATTAACTTTTGCATTAGAGCATGGAGTCAGCAAACTACCACTAAAGACCAAATTTTTTTTTTTAAGAGACCAAATTTAACTCACTGCCTCTTTTTGTAAATAAAGTTTTAATGGGACACAGCCATACTCATTGGTTTACATATTGTCTCTGGCTGCTTTGGGCTACTACAGGGGAACTGATTAGTTATGACAGAAACCTTATGTCCCACAGAGCCTAAAATATTTATTTGGTCCTTTATAGAAAAAAGTTTCCTGCCTCCTGCACTAGAGAATTGAAAAGGAAAAAGTAGAGTTTATTTCAGATTTTACCTTTTAAGTCTTTTCTGGTAAATTTGATATGCAACTGCAAACAATAGCCAGTGAAATTAATTGGTGTTTTTTGAGAAATACCATAAGACCTTCTTTCCCTTTTAAACTACTTACCTACTGGGCCTTCTTGGGAACCTGAGGTTCAAAGACAGAAAGGAAAAAGGGGTATCCTTAAGTGAAACTGTACTATTTTTATTCTGAATGCATGGCAGTGGACAATACAATGATTGAGATAGTACACTGGTCTCTTGAGGAAAAAGCACTGATTATTTGAATTGGCAATTGAATTAGCTACTCTTTTTTAATGGAACATTATTTTTATTTGAAAGTACAACTGACAAACTGGTTATATGGTTATTCAGATTTAAGTATTTGGTAGAACTTTTCTTGAAAATGTGGGGAAGGGGGAAAATTCCCCTTTTCTTCCTCTGGTTCTTTTGGCTGGCTGAATCAAATCAACAGATGACAAGAGAAAATCAAATTTAATTTTGTGTGCACAGGAACCCTACATACATGAGAGTCACAGACCCTCCACATATGTGAGAGGTTCAAAGACAGGAAAAATGGGTATATAAAACATTCTGAGCTAGAGGGGAGGTAGGGTACATTGTGCCTTCAGGTTATTATAGGGAGAACACATGTCAGTGATTAGTAGTTTGCCCTTCCATATAGATAGGTCCAAAAAGGTTATGTCTGGTAATCTCTTACTATGGGCAAGCCTCCTCATTCAAATTCCTCTAGATAGTTAAAGGGGCGAGGCGTGGGGCAAGATGCTTCTCTTGAGCCCACAGGGTCAGCTACCTTTAGCTCAAAATAATCTACATATCACTGAAGCACACCTTGGGGTGGCTCTTCTGAATCCCCACAAAAACAAAGTGAGCTTGTCACTTCAAGGAAAACAACTATTTGTTGCCAATGATGAAATCTGACTGTCAAGAAAAAAGTAGTTTTGGAAAACTTTGACAGCTTCTCAATACTTAAAAGATTTTTCTGAGAGCAGTGGTATTTAAAATATATATAAATATATGTATATATTTATATTTAAAATATGTAATTTAAAATATATATATAGTGTTATGAAATGTGTTAACATTTGGAAGACTGCATATCTTAAGTGAACTGATATTTTCCAAATGACCAATGCCTGATGTCATAAATCATTTATGGGCAAAAGGTCCATCAAAGTGCAAGACAGACCAGTGGATTTTAATGTATCAGAGTACAAAAGTTCATTGATATATTTTCAGATTCCACATTGCAAATAACTTTTAAAAAGCTACTATTTGTTAAATTTTAGTGTAGTATTAAAAATATTCACATTTGTCTGAAAAGGCTATTAAACATTTTCTTTCTCCAACTACATAGTTGAGGCTAGATTGTCTTTATGTACTTCAATGAAAACTAAAATTGTAGCATTAAATGCAGAAGAGAAATATGAGAATCCAACCATTTTTGATAAGCCAGACATTAAAATTTACAAAAATGTGAAGCAATGTTATTTTCTCTGATTTTAAAATTATTTTGGAAAAGTTATTTTTCTATAAAAATATTTACATGAAATTGTTTACTGTATTCTTAAATGACTTATTAAACATTTAAAATTCTGTTTTAATTTCTAGTAAATAGTGATAGATACGACCTACATAAACAATACTCTTTAGGGTCCTCAATAGATTATAAGTGCATTCTGAAACAAATAACAGAACAGCTGGTATAGAGGCTTCAGTGGGACTTGGGGATAGAAGACCTAAATTGAAGTTCCAGTTCTGTCACTTGGAGATAGAAAACTAAAATTGAAGCTCCAGTTTTGTCACTTAACTGACTCAGATTTCAGGTGAGTTACTTAGGTGCAGGCTCTGAAGACAGACTTTTATAATTTCGGTTCTGTTTGCTGGTAGTATGGCTTTGAGTGAGTCATTTTACCTCTGCAAATAGGATTGACTATAGTACCTACTTCATCAGGTTGCTGTGAGGACTAAATAGGATTATACTTGTAAAATGCTTACACCTGTACCTAGAACGCAGACTCAGAAATGACTAGTTACTATTATAGTCTATGATATTAACTAATCATCTGACAAGATCCTAGAGAAGGGGACACAGTCTTGGCTTTCTTCATCCTCTGAAGAGAATAAAATTTATTTAGGTGTCATAAATTTGAGGAGAAGGTATAAACTTGTGAATATTTGTGTATGGTGGTTAACCTATGGGAAAATTAATTTTATAAAAATTCCCTTTCGGCTTCCTTTTTCTCGGTTTCTGAAGAAATAAAACTGAAAAACATTCCCTAAACCCTTGCCTTGTAATCTAGTTAGAAAATAGGAAAGTATCTTATTATTCAGTTATTTCCCCCAAAAGAATTGAGGTCCTCCAGAAAACAATACTCAGGAGAGCTGGGCAAGGCTGCTATTCAGCTTCATGACTGTGGGAAATTCGTTTAAACTTTTCACCTCAGTTATGTCATCTTGTTCGGACGAAAATATCTCATCTCCAGCCTCCCTCGCAGCTTTTAAATCCTGTCAAGCTCACCTATACATTTTTTAGAGATATCTTTTTGTCAGGCTCTAAATCCTATAATAAACGAAAGGATGAGTGGGCAAAGCCCACTTTTTTTCCCCTTGCCAATGACAGTTGTATCCATTCTCCTAAGCACCCAGAAGTGGAGGTCTGGAGAGACACAGCTGCTGATAGCATCCTATCATCCTATTTTTCACCAGGGGCGTGGCATCCCAGCATCTCCCATGGGTTCCCACACCATCCCTGGCATTTTGGTAGGGTTAGGGTTAGCCAGAGTACCAGCGGGTCAGGAGGCCCGTTTTTTCATCTTTTAAGTGAGGCTGGGCTTTCCTCCTTTCTGACTGACATTCTCCATGCTCTTACGGCTGTGATCTCTTCTTCCTCATTCTTGCCTTTTAAAGACCTCCAGCCTCATACCGTGCGCTGGCTCGGAGTGGAGGACACGCCGCACGTACCACCCACAAGTCCAGCACTCCCGCTCCCTGCCCGCAGGGAAGAGGCACATCTCGCGCGATTCCCTCCGTCTCTCGCGACACTTCCTGGTAGTCTCCCTGCGGCCCTTCTCTCCTCACCCGTCGCTTTCGCGCCGCGGTCCAAAACTCCTCGCCTCTGCTCTTGGCAGCCTGGCCTGCTGCTCACCCGCTGGGAGCGCGGTGGAGCCCAGTGTTGGGCGCGAGCCTGGCGGAGCCGCAGGCTCCGCCCTGCTCCGCCCCGCCTGGGCTCGGGGTAAAGGCCGCCGCTGGGACATGTCGTGCTCCTCTCAGCGAGGGCAGGAGAGCGTGAAAGGCAGCGGGGCTGTCAAGTGAGTCCGTGACGGTGTGTTGGGTTGGGCGGCTGGACCGAGTGAGGCCCAACTGGGCTGCGGGTTGGAGGCACTGCGGGATGGAGATGCCAGGGGTGGAGAAGAACGCGATGCGGGAGACAGTGAATGGGGGTGATGGGAGAACCAGCCCCAGTGAGGTGGGGGTGACTTCGGTTCCATGGAAGCAGCTCGGGCCCCTCTTTGCATCGACTGTGCCCCAAATTACCTTGTTTCCTTGGTGGCTGGAGGCGGGAGGAGACAAGTCCTTGAGTTCTGAGGTCCCACATCAGAGCTGCAGGAGGCCGGGGGTCGTAAGGGAGAAAGGACACTCCACGGTGACTGAGGTAAATTTCTGCTAGGATAAAGTGGCTGGAAGCCTGGAGAGCATTCGCTCAGAAAAAGACCAGGTGTTTGCCATCCCGCTGCGCTCACTGCTGCGATACGGGTAATCGTGCTCACTTCCCTCGGAGGAGCTTGAGTAGACTTTTGACGTATGCAGGGTTAGGTTTTACTGCTGAAGGGAGAGAAACACAGGTTCCAGTCGTCTTTGAGGGAAGGAGGCTTTTGAGATCACTTGTTACTTTTTACCAGAGACGTGGACGGTACCAGTGGTTGCGAAAGTGCGCACAGTGGCCCCTAAGCAAGGATTCGTGTTTTCAGAATTTACCACATTTCTCATTTTAAGCACACTTCAGGAATCAACAGAAATATTCCAATAATCATGTAAATGTGTAATAATAGGAGTCTGGAGCCTAAAACCTAGGTGTTATTAAGATGGAGTAAATTTTTTGTCTTTGGCACTAGACTTAGATTGGAAATTGGGTTAAAGTGTTTTGTTGCAATCAAGTTTTTGAACGTGTGCTTTTTGTGTTTCTTGGTTTGTTTTATAACCTGTTTGTTGTCTAATTAAAACCATGCGGTTTTCTGAGAGAATTGGGAGATCAGTACAAAGTGGGCATATGACTACAGGAAGCATTTTTGTTTAAAGCCCTCTCCTCCTCCACCAAAATCTAGCTGTTAGTCCCCTTGGATCGTTGTTGTTTTTGCAGTTGTGTGTGTGTCAACAATTACACTGTTAATAGAAAGAAAATATTTTTTTCTGATAGTTTTCTTTTGTCTTTTAGAGAGCGAAATGTCATCAGTGGAATCACACCAGGAACAGTTGCCTCACTCAGATCCAACCCCATCACCAAACTCATGTAGTTCCTTTGAGCTAATAGACATGGATACTAGCAGTTTGTATGAACCAGTTTCTCCTCATTGGTTTTATTGTAAGATAATAGATTCTAAGGAGACATGGATTCCTTTCAATTCAGAGGATTCACAGCTGCTGGAAGAGGCATATGGCTCTGGTAAGATGAAAATGATAAGTGGTGGTAGACAAAGACTTACTGTCATCTCTCTCAAACTGTAATACAATTAGTCCTTGTCTTTATAGTGAGTGCTATTAAAAATAAATTTTAGATTTTTTCTAGTCATCCCTCTTAGCATTTTTATATATAAGCTCTATTACTACCCAGCCAATTTATAACATTTAAGAATTTGGTCTGTATTTTGAAAACAGTACCTATTATAATTTCTGCGTGGTTATCCAATAATATTTTTTAAGTTCTAGCTTATGTTTCAGTTTCGTTTATAAAGAGTGGGGGAAATGGTGTCACATTCACATTGCAAAAGAATGAATTCTCTTCAACTTGTCTCTTGTTTTTCTTTATGGGACATGATGGTAGTTAGTACTTTATCATCAATGCAGTCATGGTCATTAATTTACTTTTTGATTCCTCAAGCAAAAAATTCAGAAAAGCCTTCTTATGTACTTTTCTTTAAACTTTTTTTTTTAAAGGGACACTACTGTCTTTCCTCAGAAAAAGAACAAAATAGTGTTTCGGTATTATTTTTTTAGTGTTTTATTAAAACCAGAAATGGTTTTGACACTTTGTAGTTAGTGAAAAAAAGATAATTAAATTCCATTTTGTTTACTGTTTAGCACAGTAGAAACTATTCACTCATATGTTTCATAACATTATTTACAGTATAACTCAAAATTGTGTTTTAGGAGGTTTATTTTGATATGTATACTTCTTTTCCTCTTTTCAATACTTAATAGGAAAAGATTGTAATGGGAGAGTTGTTCCCACCGATGGGGGCAGATATGATGTTCACTTAGGGGAGAGAATGCGGTATGCAGTATACTGGGATGAGCTAGCATCAGAAGTAAGACGATGTACCTGGTTTTACAAGGGAGACAAAGATAATAAGTATGTTCCCTACCCGGAGAGCTTCAGCCAAGTATTAGAGGTATTCCTTTAACCGTTTTTTATACTTTTTCTTCATTTTTTTCTTATTTAATAATCTTTTCTTTCTCTTGTGACTTATTTTGTGAATTTTCCAGAAAAAGTTTGGTTCTGTCTGCATCACAGATTATAGCATTTATTTTTGCAAGTTAGTTTCAGGATAAAGTAGTTTTGTTTTCAGATTTTAAAATATACTATGGAAACAGTTATGCTTTTAAATTTAAAATGTTTTCCTCTAATGGTGATCATTGTTAATATTTCAACTATGACCACAGGATTATTTTTTGCCTTTTATTTTTCTTGCTCTGAAAACAATGTGAAATTTGCTTTCTTTAAATTGGAGTAAGACGTTAATATTATTGAAAGAAATATCAATATGTGAACAATGATTATCTCTAGTCTAGATGATGAAATTAGGAATGAATTTTTTCTTAGTCTTGAACTATTATCTATTGTATTTTAAAATAAACTTCACAAATCAAGATGAAAAGCTATATATGTAATACATTCCTAATTTTATGGAAAATATACATTAATTATTATTGAAAGCAATATATCATAATGTGAACATTTATCACCCGTCTAGCTGATAGAAGTAGGAATGATTTTTTAAAATTTGTCCTATACTATTATCTGTCATAATTTAAAAGAATTTTAAAATAAAATTGATAAATTGGAGTAGGATATTCTTATTGTAATTGTTTATCTAGCAGTATTCTTATGAAAAAGTTTTAATAGAAAAGCTATAAGGGAAATATAATGAAATGTGTTTCCTTTTAAGGAAACTTACATGCTTGCTGTAACTCTGGATGAATGGAAAAAGAAACTGGAGTCTCCCAACAGAGAAATTATTATATTACACAATCCAAAGGTAAAGCAAATTAAAAGCCCTTCCCTCATGTTTGGATTAAAGGTTAATTGCATTACCGAGGAGAACTTAATTTGTTTCTCTTTCCTAGGGATTCTATTTTGGGTAACCTTTGGGAATTTTTATATTATGTTCACAATTATGATGCTTAAAACTTGTAGCCACTATTTTTATTTTCAGTTAAAACAAAAGAATTTTCTTAGGGAAAATTATGCCACTGTAGATTAAGAATATCACTGATACATTATGTGGCATGTCTTACATGTATAGGGTATTGCTGAAAGTCTGTTAGCCTGATATATTTTTTTTAGCTTTATTGAGGTATAATTGACCAATAAAATTATAAGAATTTTAAAGTGTACAGTATTAGCCTACTGTATTTTCAGGGTTCTCATTTCAAGCTGTAAGAGTTGCATATCAAAACTCTAGTTGAGATTTAACTATGTACTATGTTTTGAAAGATATGCTCCTGCCCCTCAGATTGTATAAATATAGATGTCTTTAATGTAGAATATCTTTATTGCTCTGATTTTTTCTATTTAAGCTTATGGTGCATTACCAGCCAGTTGCGGGGTCGGATGAATGGGGTTCAACACCCACTGAGCAAGGTCGACCAAGAACAGTGAAGAGAGGGGTTGAGAACATCTCTGTTGACATTCATTGTGGTAAGATTAATCATTAATTTCTTCTGATATACTTATTAGTTTATGACTTAAATTGTGACCTTTTTCTATGGATTTGGATTACCTCTTGGCTTATAAACGATCTTTAATCACATGAGTTTATTCTGAGTTAAGGTCAGCATCACTTCATCTATTAAGAATCTTAATAGATACAAAAATCTTTTTTAAAGATTACTATAATTTAAAGTTGCTGAGTATATGTGGTGAGATGGGTAAAATTTGGTAGTACTAATCAGGAATTCACTCAGTACAGATGAACTGATTTAGTCCTCATTCTAAGAAGTGTGATTCTACCTATTTGATTAGAAATTTAGTCCTGGTAATTCCTGTTGAAGATTTTCAGCTAGGGAAATTATTTTTCAGTAGGACCTTGATGGTTATCCATTGCTATCTAGCTAGGATCATTTATGGTTGGTTTTATAATATATTTAACTGGATTATGAAATTCCTTTTTATCGTGCAGAGGAGGTATGTCTCTTGGACAAAGTCTTAGACTTAACTATAATTTAAAAAGATGGGTTTAAAAATTTTAGGCTTCAAATACATACGTGATGTTATTGGTACAATTGATAAAAAATGGACTGTTATATAAAATTATTTTATAATTTTTTTATTTTATAATTGAAATTGCCTGAATTCGATAACTGCACTGTGGTTATATAAGAAAGAGAATATTCTTAGGAAATACACATTAAAATATTAAAGGTTTAAAGAGGGATGTATGATGTGTGCAAGCTGATGGTATATGTAACCTGCTCCCAAATGATTCAGAAAAATAAATGTGTATATATACAAATATACATAAAGAGAGAGGGAGAGAAAAAAAAAAGAGAATAATAAAGCAAATGTGATAAATGTTAAAGTGTCGAATCTGTAAAAAGTACATGAGAGTTTCTGTACTATTCTTTCAAGTTTTCTTTAAAGGTTGAAGTTATTTCAAAGTGAAAAGTTTAAAAAAACCTAAAAAACTTTTTCACAGACTTTTTTAAGGTAAATTAGAAACAAAGGAAAATCACTGTTTTTTTACTCAGTAGTTATATATAGGATTATTTTGTGTCCTTTAAATTATCTGCTTATATTTTAACTTGCCTATCTTTATAACCTATTCATTGTGTTTGATTTTAGAATACATGACTAGATATTTAGAATAATTTTTCTTTTTAATTTCATTTATAGGGGAACCTTTACAAATAGACCACTTGGTTTTTGTAGTCCATGGGATTGGACCAGCTTGTGATCTCCGCTTTCGCAGCATTGTACAATGTGGTAGGTTTGCAAAGATCATTTAAAGGGAATATGAGTGCTCCTGTGAGCTGAGTTAAAGCGTTGTCTTTAGACTGTTGTCTTAGCTGCATAATAAGATTTGGAGAGCTAAAGGCAGATGGCAAGGTAGAAAAGCTTCCCAGCTTAGACCTAAAGTACTAGTAAATTCCTTAGGCTAATAGTTTATACTCTTAGCTAATAATTCTTGAGTGAACAACCCTTAATCCTTATAAAATTGTTTTTATGAGATGATGGTCCTGTGTCTACACATTACAAATTTAAAAGGACCATAAAGATGATATAGTTTAATGAATAACAGAAGCTTCAGTTATATTTGTAATTCATACTGTGATAAACCTCTTGATATTCTAATTTGAATATTTAGGTCATTAGTATAACTTGATCTTGAAAAGTAATATCCTAAAACTTGATAGTATTCAAAGTCTAATTGTCCCAATTTGGGAGTCTTACCCTACTGGCTAATGCTTCTATGCATAAATGTTCTTAGAAGGTTAAGATTGATGTAATATGAATTTCAAACAGCAGTGTACTTTTTCTTAATCTAAAATATTGGATAGTTGTTGTTTATAAGAACCAGAAAGTTAGACTAGGAATCTGACTACTGGAAAGCCAACTGACATAGTTATGTGATATTTTTCCTTTTCGTTTTTTAAATTGAAACAGTTCCCATGACACAGGTTTTTTGTTTTTTTTTAAAATAAATTTATTTATTTAAATTAGTTTCAAGTATACAGTACATTGGTTAGACATCTATATTGTTCATAAAACGATTTCCCCAATTGCTCCCTCCCTCTCCTGGCCCTCCACTTATCCATCATATTAATGCTAACTGCATTCCCTGTGCTGTGCTCCCCATCCTCATGCCCAACTATTAATTTGTACTTTAATTCTTCACCCCATTCTCCTAGCCCCCCAAACCCCCTCCCCTCTGTCACCAAATTGACCACTATTTTTGTGAGTCTGTTTGTGATTAATTTGTTCTTTTCCTTAGTTTCCACATATAAGTGAAATCATATGGTATTTATCTTTCTCTGTCTGACTTATTTCACTCAGCATAATAACCTCTAGGTCCATCCACGTTGTTGCAAATGGTAGGATTTCATTTTTTTTAATGGCTGAGTAATATTGTATATATAAACCATCATTTCTTTATCCAGTCATCTGTTGATGGGCATTTAGGTTGCTTCCATATCTTGGCTATTGTAAATTGTGCTGCCATGAATATTGGAGTGCATGGATCTTTATGAATTATTGTTTTGGTTTTATTTGGATAAATACCCAGAAGTGCAATTGCTGGGGCAAATTATCTATTTTTAATTTTTTGAGGCACCTCCAGACTGTTTTCCATAGCGGCTGTACCAGTTTGCAATCCCACAAACAATGTATGAGGATTCCCTTTTCTCCGCATCTTCGCCAACACTTGCTGTTTTTTGATTTATTGGTGATAGACATTCTGACAGGTATGAGGTGATATCTCATTGTGGTTTTAATTTGCATTTCCCTAATAGCTAGTGAAGTTAAAGGATCTTTTCATATGTCTGTTGGCCATTTGTATGTCTTCTTGGGAAAATTCAAGTCAATTCAAGTCCTCTGCCCATTTTTTTTATTAGACTTCTTTTTTTCATTGTTGAGTTGTATGAGTTCTTTATATATTTTGGAGGCGTTGTTTGCAAATATATTCTCCCATTCAGATGGTTACTTCTTTGCCTTGCTGATGGTTTCTTTTGCTATGCAGAAACTTTTTAGTTAGATAAAGTCTCATATATTTATTTTTGCTTTTACTTCCCTTGCCTTTGAGGTCAAATGCATAAAATTCTCTCTAAGTCCAAGATCCTGAATTTAGTACTTATGTTTTCTTCTATGCAATTTGTTGTTTCAGATTTTATATTCAGGTCTTTGATTCATTTTGAGTTAATTTTGGTGTATGGTGATAGATAGCAGTCTAGTTTCATTCCTTTGCATGTGACTTTCCAATTTTCCCAGCACTATTTACTTAAGAAGCTAAAAAACTCTTTATTTCTTTAAGACTAACACTCAAAATATTTGTCATGGCCTAAAAACACCTATCTATATCACCTTTCTTCCCACTGTCCACCACTGATTTCTGATCTAATCATTAGCCACTCCTTCCATCTATAACTATTCTTTGCCTACTCCTCGCTGGCGGTCTTGCTATTCCTAGAGCAAACCAAGCATACTCCTGCCTCAGGAAATTTTACTTAACTGTTCTATCTGCCTAGAACTTCTCATTGATGTGCTATGACTTCATCTCTTACTTATCTTTAGGTTTCTCATCCAATGTTACCTTTCTGAAAAAATTTGCCAACCAAGCTATTTAAATTAGCAATCACCCTTATTCCCTATCCTGTTATCCTGCTTTATTTGACTTCATAATACTTAGCAATATCTGAAGTACTATATACAGATTTTTTTTATTATCTGTTTCTCACCTTAAAATTGAAACTCTATGAACACAGAAATTTTACCTTGTTCACTGCTATATTCCAATGTCTGATAAGTGCAAGGAACATTGAAGGAAATCAATAGCATTTCTTGAAAGAATAATCGAGTGAATGAAGAATATATAAGTAGATGAAAAGGTTAATAGATGGATTGTAATTTTTATTAATAACATGGAATTTTCCATATTATGGCTAAGACTTCCAATACAATGTTGAAGAGGAGTGGTGAAAGTGGGCATCCTTGTCTTGTTCCTGATCTTAAGGAAAATGCTTTTAGCCTTTCCCTATTGAGTATGATGTCCAGTCTACTGTTGAATTCTTCTAGTGTATTCTTCATTTCAATTATTGTATTCCTCACTTCTTTCTATTTTTTTTTTTATGGTTTCTATGTCCTTTTTAATGCTTACTATCTCTGTTGAGGTTCTCATTGTGCTCATCCATTCTCCCCATAAGTTCATTGAGCATCCTTATAAATGTTATTCTGAACTCTGTCTCTGGTAGGTTGCTTGTCTCCATTTCATTTAGTTTATTTTCTGGCGTTTTCTCTTGTTGTTTCATTCATGGCATGTTTCTTTGTTTTCTCATTTTATTAGCCTCTCTGTGTTTGTTTCTATGTGTCAAGAATATTTGTTTCGTCTCTCAGCCTTGGCCAGATGGCCTAATGTGGAAAGTGTCTTGCGTGCCCCCGTGGCACACTCTCCCTGATCCCTTGTGCCAGGAGCTCTGGATGTGACCTTTGTGTGGGTTATGTGTGATCTTCTGATGTCACCAAGCCTTTATTGTTGTTAGTAGATCAGTTGCTGGGATTAATGTTCAGGCTGACTAATTGTGTGAATTGGCTGAACCCTCAGGATAAGAGTTGTTGTGTCGGGGCTGACTCCACTGAGTGGGATTTGCCCTAACAGGCTAGTGTACTTGTTGCAACCACCTTGTATGTGTATCCCTACTGGAGCTAGTCAAGAGTTGCTCCGTTGTGGTCTGGTGCCAGCCTCCAGATGTGTTGGTTTTGTGCCCCCATGGGAGGGGCTCCCCCATAGGCCAAGGTAAGCCGCTGCTTTTGATTGCTCAGGGCTACCTGGTGAGAACTACAAAGCAATCCGCTGATGGTTGTCTATGCTGGATCTATAGGTAAGTGGAAGAGATACCTCTGTAGGCAGCACTCAGTTATCCCCTGTCCCTGACCTATGGCATTTTAGCAGAGGGACCAGTGCTCCTCAAGCCCTGATACTGCCTATCAGCTGCTCGTAAGTCTCTGAAACTGGATGAGCCTCTGGGTGATATGTGTGTGGGGTGGCACAGGGACCCTGGGAGTCTCCTGGGTCTAGTGAGTAAATTTCCCCCTGCCACTGCAGTGTCAATTTACATGCCTTTGCTGTCTCTCTGACTCGCTGTACAAGTTTCCACTCGTAGCAAGGTCAACTGCTGCCTACCCCGGGCTTAAATGTGCTACTCCAGAGCAGGGGCAGCTGCCTATCAATATGCAGTGGGCACTTTGTGTACTGGATGAGGCAGAAGCTCAGAGAGTCAAGGGCTGTCAGGCCAATACAGACCCCTGCAATCCTCTTAAGAGATATCGCAGCTCACACAGGCAGCAGTGGTCTGTCCACAACTGTTTTTTTTGAAATGCGCTCACTGTGCTAGCCAAGATCTGTTGCTTGCTCTAACTGCTCAACCCCAGAGCCAAGCAGGGCACAAGAGGCTGCCTGTCAATGGGCTGCAGGCACTTTGTGGCTTGGGTGAAGCGGGATCTCAGGAGACAAGGTCCGTTCTGCCAGTACAGCCTTAGTTTTACTGCAACTTCTGTGCCTGGGCGTTCCTGCTGTAGACACAGATCGCAGTGAGACACAGATCGCAGTGAGACACAGATCACAGTGAGACCTGCTGTCAGGGGGGCTTCCACAGACCCCTGTGTTCCCTGGACACAATATTGCAACTCTTGAAGTCAGCAAAGGTCTGCCTGCCGTTGATTTCGGTTCAGTGCCCACCCTGTGCCAGCCAAAGTTTGTTTCCTGTGTAGATTAGAAGATCAGGGGAGGGGAAGGGCAGGGCTGTGGAAGTTCACTGTCAGTGGGGCCCCTAGGGCAATTTTAGGTAGGGTGGGGTGAGGTCTCAGAGAGACAATGGCAGTCAAATCAATTCAGCCTCAGTCTTGCTGCAAATTTGGTAACTGTTGTGAGTTCCTGAAGAAGACCCAGCTCACAGCAAGACCAGCTGCTGTCTGAGACTAGCCCAAAGGTCCCCGATATCTGCCCAAGTTTGTGTTGGCAGCAGCGATCTGCCTGACCCTATCTCTGAAATGTGGCTCACAGCAGCTGACTGCTGTTTCTGGGATTAGAAATGCAGCTCTCAGACCAGAGGTTCCCAATGGCCCTTTGGGAGGGGTCTGCACAGTCAAGCTGGTGAGGTCTGTAGTTTGCCTGGTAGGGGGACCAGACTAAGGCACAATGGTGGCTGCCTTTCCAGCCCTCGTTCAGACACCAGGCAATGGATGCCTTTTCAGAATGAATCCTGTGTGAGCCTCTGACCCACTGCTGGCATCCAGGGTGAGAGTCCACAGGTCAGAAAACCTTTGCACGGGTCCTTCAAGGGAACTTCTAGGGGTTCATTCGCCTTCCGTCTCACTTAGATGGTCGGAATCCCCTTCAGTTTCTACAGTCAAAATTATTGGAATCTCTTCTTCCCTGGGCTGGGACCCTATGCTGGAGAGCCCCTAGATGAGACCAGGACCCCCATCTCCCTCAGGAGAGCCTCTGTAGCCTTGTTCTCCCCGCCTCCCCTCTTACCCTTGGCGAACTTTACCACCTGTGCAGCTCTAGCCCGATTCACAGCTTCGCCCCTCCTACCAGCTTCGATATAGCTCCTTTATGTTATCAGATGTAGGTGTTATGATTGGCTGGACTTCAGGTAATTTTCCACGTTGGTTATTTTATAGTTTGGGTGTAATTTCAATGCGGTCCTGGGAGGAGACGAACCCTGCTTTTACCTAGTCCGCCATCTTCCCTCTATCCCTCAACATAGAAGTTTTGAAGTTAGCTTTTACTTTAATGAAATGTTTTATGTAGTAAAAGCAGGTTCTGTATTAAAGGAACAGCTTTTCTTATATGCAATGATAATTTTTCTGAATAACACTTTGCTGTTTTTTGACTCAAGTAAATACATGTTCTAAGCAAACGTAGATAAGAGTATAATTATGTGATCGGTTGCATCTTAATTCTGCAAATTCATTGCTTCACTATTGAGACATAAATTAATTTTCTTTTTCAGTTAATGATTTTCGCAGTGTTTCATTGAATCTGCTACAAACGCATTTTAAGAAAGCCCAAGAAAATCAGCAGATTGGAAGGGTAGAATTTCTTCCAGTGAATTGGCACAGCCCTTTGCATTCTACTGGTGTGGATGTGTGAGTAATACCATATATCTTTGAGCTGTTAACTGTGATTGCAATATATTATCTGATCATTGATATGCTTAAGGACATTTCTGCTATAGCTGATTATATATTTAAAATTTTGTTCAGCAAAACTTTTTTTGTATTTATGTCTTTTTCTTAGAGATAAATTATGAAATGCTAACTAATCCTTTGGTTTAAGTAGTCCAGGTTAGGAATAAAAAGCTGTGTATATTTTCTTCTAGTATGTTTTACTGGCTCATTAGTATTTACGGTGACATCTTTATTATTTCTTTAGCATTAAAACCAAATATCGCTTTCTTCCTATAGTGTATAAGCATTTCCATTTTTAGGTGTCAAAAGCCTACCTACCTCAAGATATACACAGTATTTTGTTGTTCCTTTTGTGATCATATTTAGATATTTGTCCAAATTTGGTAAAAAAGGAAAATCCCCAAATTATTAGCATTTATAACTTGAGGTATAATGGTACAACAACTTTTAAGTGATGGCTTTCTTAAATTACAGGCCCAATAGTTTTGTTTGTAAATTTTATGGTGATGTCAGAGAAGCCTGCCTTATATAAAGAATATTCAGCTATGGGTTCTCCAGAAAGAAGTGTGTTCATAATATAGTTCTAGGATAGAACTCGGAAGTGCTTCTCTGGAAGATAAAGGACGTAGTCAGCATTATTTCCATGCTGGTCTTGGAAATTGCTTTCTTGATTCTGTTTCTCAGTTCTTAATGCTGCTCTACGATTTGAGCATATTCCATGTGCCACATGTGCCATTGTGGTGTTCCTTTTAATAGGTATTGAATTCACATTCTTTCATATTTAAGCTCATGCTCAGAGGTGACTAAGGTCACCTAGCCTTCTCTAAACTACAGAAACTGTTGATTCTTTGAGGAATCTTTCTGGGAATTTTGAAAAAGTTTTAACTGGAAGTTGATTTAGACAATGTCAGTATGGTTTTCCTTTGCAAGATATGAGTTCTGTTTGCCTTGGCATATGGCAATCTTATGTTCTTTCAGCTTTTAGAAATTCTGCATTGAGAGCTGATTCCATTTACCATTTGACTTGCGATCAAAAAACTTTAATGTTGAGAAAGCTAGAAAACTTCTCTTGTATCTTTTGTCTTTTTAAAAAGCTTTTTATTATAGAGAATTCTGTACACAAAAGTAGCATATATAATGAACCCTCATGTACTGATTACGATTACCCACCCACAACAAGCCTCAGCACATGGCCAGTCCTGACCCATCCCTATTGTCACACCCCTGTCTACTGCCCATCCCTCCACCATACTATTTTTGAATCAAATCAGATATATCATTTCATCTGTGTTTCAGCTTGTATATCTTAAAGGACTTTTAATAAAATATAACTATAACACCATTATGACACCTAAAAAGTTCTTAATGTCAGCAAATACAAGAGTTCAAATTTCCACTTGTCTAATGCCATTATTTATATATATGCATACATACATATACATACACAAACATGAATGCACACTATACACATTTTAAATTTAGATCCAAATTAGGTTCATAAATTGCAAAAGTTGGTATGTCTTAAGTCTCTTTTGATCTCTTGATTACCTTTCCATCTCTTATTTTCTTGTAATTTATGTATTGAAGAAACTGAGTTGTTTGTGTTATAGAGCTTCTTACACTCTGAATTTTGTTGATTACATCCCTTTGGCTTCATTAAACATATCTTTCTGTCTTCCATATTTCCTATAAATTGATAGTTGCCTCTTGTATCTTTAAATATCTAAAGTCAAAGCTTGGAGGCTAAACTAGATAATAACTTAGATGAGATTATGGAATGTATTTAAGTTTTCTGCTTAAAATATCTTTCCTTTTTTCAGAGATCTGCAGCGAATAACCCTGCCTAGCATTAACCGCTTAAGACACTTCACCAATGACACAATTCTGGATGTCTTCTTCTACAATAGCCCCACCTACTGTCAGACTATTGTGGACACAGTTGCTTCTGAAATGAACAGAATATATACACTTTTTCTGCAGAGGAACCCTGATTTCAAAGGGGGTGTATCCATTGCTGGTCATAGTTTAGGTAACAAATGAATTCTCTGTAACTAGAGAGAACTGTTACATTTTTAGGACACCTGTTTTTGAAGTACAGTGTCTTTTATCAGTATCAAATTCAGAGGGTTTGGAAGGGGTTGAAAGGGTGGTGGTGGATTGGAAAGACTCCCTGCTTTGTAGATTTTGCTACATGGGTAATTGGGTTATTACTCTTACATAAGACAACAGCTATTTAGTGTTAATGCTTAGAAATTGTCCCTTCTTCTGTTTTACTTATAGGTTCGCTTATATTGTTTGATATCCTAACAAATCAGAAAGATTCTTTGGGGGATATTGACAGTGAAAAGGTAATTTAGATGTTCAGATAGGTTCTCTTTTAATTTTTCTTAGTAAGGATTTTTAGGCATTAGACTTATTTTTTGTTTTTTGCTTAGTTTAGTCTTATAACATTACATTTATGTTTAATAGACTTGTAATTATGTCATTCTTGGATGATAGAAGCAAGATAGTAATATGCTTCTACAAGTATTTGCCACATTCTAAATAAATATAGGTATCATATTTTCCATTATAAATATGCACTACTGGTCTGTTATTAGAATTATAAAATCTTTGAGCTGAAATGGAGGTTGCATATGATGAAATGAATGAATTGGATGTAAATTGATATAATTTATAGAAGTTTTGTTTGAAAGGAGTGGAAGGACTTGATGCTTAAACATCTTTTAGTAAAACAAAGTCCTATGAATACTTTTCTATTGTGCAATACTGTCTTGTATTTTTTCTTTTTACTTAAGTGTCCTATTTCTCCTGTTGGACTATGAGTTCTTCCAGGGGAGGGGCTTTTTGTTTGAGATTGTTTTACATCTTAAACACTGTTTTTCTATTAAGAACTCAGTAAATGTTTTGTTAATGAAGAATACTTTGATAATCATTCATTCACTCATTCATTTATTTAAAAACATTTTCAGCTGAAGTTGCAAAAACTTAGAGATCAATACCTCTTAATTTATATTTTCTATAAATTACAGTTCATTTAGTCTTTAAAGATACATCTCTATGTGCAAATCATATAGAGTACATTTCTTTATTGCAAAATAGCATAAATAAAAGACAATCTAAATAAATTTAGAGAATATGAGCTTTACAATTTAATTTTTAGGACTTGCCAAATATCGTTAAGGATCAAGGAGACACACCAACGCTAGAGGAAGATCTGAAGAAACTTCAACTCTCTGAATTCTTTAGTATCTTTGAGAAGGAGAAAGTAGATAAGGAAGCTCTGGTAAAAATCTTTTAAAATTCTATGCTATACCATTTTCAGTATTTTTATTGCTTATCTTCATCATACTGCTTACTAAGAGCCTGCCCTTTAGAAGCATTTTAGCCATAAACACTTATCATTAGTAATGTTCTTTAGCATTTATGTGTTTCTCATCATATCAAATGATCTTTGCTTTGTGGGAGTTCAAAGTTCAGAGGAGCCACATTGATAAACATATAGCAATAGAGCAAAAGACTAAAAAACAGCACAGCTCAGAAAACACGATAACAAGAATAAATGACCACTAACTATTCCAATTCTTATTTTCTGTTTTACTTTCAAGAGCTTTACTTTTGATACTCGCTTTTTTTTTTTTTTTTTTTTTGCCACTTTTGTTGTATTTTTTTTCAGGTTCGCGATAACATTCATTCAGTAGGTGTTTAGTAAATGCTTACTATGATCAGGCATACTATACCAAGTACTGAAGATAGAGTGGTGAATAAGACAGATAATGATTCCTAACCTCGAAGTGTTTATAGTTTACCTGAAAAGACATACATTAAATAATCAAACACATAATCACAGTTGTGATAAGTTCTAAGTAGGAAAAGTACACAGTGGTATAAGAACGATATTAGGATGAACTCACCTAATCTGGGAGTGTGAAGGAAGACTTCCCTAATCAGATGAGTAGTGCTTCAGCTGAACTGTTAGTCTGTTAAATGCTCTGCGTTTGCTGTATGTTCTTACTGGAAGTTAATACCTAGCTCTGTAGGTTTTTTTTTTTTTTTTACAATACAGCGTTACCTATATTACTATAGCATTGATATTGTAGTATTGATACTTTTTATTTTTCTTTAGCCTCTTTTATGTTTAAAGAGTATAAACTACTCTTTTTCTCTAAGTTATTAATAATGTACCACTAGGGAGCCCTAGTAATATAAAGCAAAGAACAACAGAGTGCTTACACCTTATTTTTCTCAGAGAACAGGACATTTAATTGGTTTTATTTTGCCTAGAAATAAGAAAGATAATTTGATTTTCTGTGCTTAGGCTTTATGTACAGACAAAGATCTTCAGGAAATGGGAGTTCCCTTAGGACCAAGAAGGAAGATATTAAACTACTTTAGGACCAGAAAAATTTCAATGGTATGTGCTGAATATAGCTTATAGTATTAAATACTTTTTGACATCCTTGTATCCTTGTGCTTTATGAGGTGTTTAGGGAACTAAGCAATTTTGTTAATTGATCTTTGGCTCTCTTTAAAAATTAAACATGTTTATTAATATCTTAAAAATGTTATTAGCTTCAGAAGTCTTAATCTCCCCTGGACTCCTACCATTCCATTTTTTTATAACTGCTTTATTGAAATAAAATATACATCACATACCACAAAATTCTCCCTTTAAAGTATACAATTCAGTGGTTTTTAGTATATTTAGAGTTACGTAACCATGACTACTGTCTAACTCTAGAACATTTCTAATATCCAAAAAGAAACACCACACCCCTTGTTCCTCATTTCTCCCTCCTGTGAACCACTGACCTATTTTCGTATGGATTTTTTTATTTTGGACATTTTATGATAGGGAATCATGATATGTGGCCTATTATAATTGGCTTCTTTCACTTAGCGTAATGTACTCAATGTTTATCCATGTTGTAGCACTACTTGTACATTTAGTTTGTTGGCTACTGAATTCTTTTCCAATTCTTAGTAGTTATTTTCCAACTTTTTAGCAAGTTGCTTAGTTATTATTTAAGGCCCAGTATTTGCATCACTTTCTATAACCACAGAGACATTCTACTTGCTTTAATTAGAAAAGTATAGCACTTCATTAAATTCCTTAGGAGTTCTCAACATTCTTTTCCACAATGCTCCACTGTTGTTTCCTCTTATGATGGTTGCCTGAAGTTTCAACTGCTGCCCAAATGGCTGTGTACAGCTTTTATCATTTTAGAACATGTAGGGCTATCAGTTCATAATTTAAGGCAACTTTTGTTTTTTTATCATGAAGTTAGATACTTTATCTTGTTTTCTGAGACTCTTCCTGGAATTATTGACTATCGTTTCAAAACTTTCCCCAAGTATCTTTTCAAACCAGTAGAAAACCATGTAATCGTTTGAATATTTTTACTACATAGCAGCTCCACAGAACTGTTTTTTATTCTTTAGGGTATTAATAGACCAACTCTGCAATCAGATTCAGGGGTAAATGTGTCTAATATCCCCAAAGAATCAGATTTCTGCAGTAGTTCTGACGGTACTGGAAATAATGACTATCTGGATGTTGGCATTGGGCAGGTAACAATACTAACTCTTTTTGGTCATTTTAGTGCCTGCCACTTGTATATAGGAACAGAAGTAACTTTCGTTAATGAGAGATGCTTTTGTTTTCTCCTTGCAGGTGTCTGTAAAATACCCCCGGCTCATCTATAAACCAGAAATATTCTTTGCCTTTGGATCTCCCATTGGAATGTTCCTCACCGTCCGAGGACTAAAAAGAATTGATCCCAACTACAAATTTCCAACTTGCAAAGGTTTCTTCAATATTTATCACCCTGTAAGCAATGGACAGCTCTTGTGGTTTTTTTTACCTGAATATTAGGGTTTATTGATAAAGAGCATATGATTTTCTATTGTGTTGATTTACTTTTTAATATACTGTTCTGTAGTAATGAGATAACTTACCTGGAATCGATGGTGCAGAACTGTACATTTTTTAAAAATAAGCTTACAATTATTCTTGCCTGATATACAGTTCCTCAGACTACTTTTCTTCAGCAGAGGTATATGTAGCTATTGTTTTTCCTATGCAGTTTGATCCTGTGGCCTATAGGATTGAACCAATGGTAGTTCCAGGAGTGGAATTTGAGCCAATGCTGATCCCACATCATAAAGGCAGGAAGCGGATGCACTTAGGTAAGACTGAATACAGAACTTGTTAATTCCAGACCTTCTGGTCAGTGCAAACTGACTGGACTTCATTCACTTTGTTTAGCTGTGTTGGAGCCTAAACTCATTGTAAACCATGTAATGTTCTTTATTCATATGTGTTTCAGAACTGAGAGAGGGCTTAACCAGGATGAGTATGGACCTTAAGAACAACTTGCTAGGTTCACTGCGGATGGCCTGGAAGTCTTTCACCAGAGCTCAATACCCTGCTTTACAAGCTTCAGAAACTGCAGAGGAAACTGAAGCAGAACCTGAATCAAGTTCAGAGAAACCTAGTGGTCAGTGACACTACACATTGATTTTCCTACATCAGGCCAGATAAGGACTCCATAGTGTATAGTTCTTATTCTCCCAGGGACTTCTTACTTTGCCCTTATAACTGTATAGGACTAATACTATGAGTGCTAATGTTCCTTCGGCTCTGCTAGCCTTTTCTATCATCTAATAGCCACAAATTATGGAAAAACATTATTTCTGAGAAAAAGTGTCAAGAGAAGCATACAAAATCAATGTGACTTAAGGAGAAGCTTTAAGGAGATTGAGAGTGGGAAGATGGGAGAGAGCTTCCTGTATAGAGAGTAGCTCATCTTATGGTAAACTTGGAGTCTGAGGGGAAGTAGGGACAACTTGGAGGGCTGGAAGCTTTTAGGTTCTTATCGTTCCTCCATATCCAGATATTAACACAGAAGAGACCTCTGTGGCAGTTAAAGAAGTCCCACCCATCAATGTAGGAATGCTGAATGGAGGCCAGCGCATTGACTATGTGCTACAGGAGAAGCCCATTGAAAGTTTTAATGAGTATTTATTTGCTTTACAAAGCCATCTATGCTACTGGTAAGTGTTGTTTTTTGGAGTCTAATTGTTTCACAGTCTCCAGGGAACCACTGATCTGCTTCTATCAGTATAGATTAGTTTACACATGACTTATATAAATGGTATCATACTATATACTCTTTTGTATGGCTTCTTTCATTCATCCATATTGTATGTATCAGTAGTTCCTTCCTTTTTATTGCTGAGTGATATTCCAGTGTATGAATGTACCACGATTGGTTTATCCATTTACCTGTTGATGGACATTTGAGTTGCTTCCAGTTTTGGGCTATTACAAAACTGCTGTGAACATTTATGTACAAGACTTTTTATGAACATGTTCTTTAATTTCTCTTCAGTAACTATCTAGGAGTAGAATGGCTGGTAAGAATATTTTTAAAAGGAATTGCCAAACTGTTTTTCTGCCAGCAATTTCCATTACCATCAGCAGTGTTTGAGAGTTCCAGTTGCTCTGTATCCTCGACAACACTTGATATGATTGGTTTATGATTTATCTCTTAGCCTTTTTAAATGGGTTGTAATGGTACCTCATTTAATTTGCATTTGCCTGATGATTAATGATATTGAGCATATTTTCATGTATTTGCTATCCATACATCTTTGGTGAAATGTCTGTTCAAATCTTTTCCCCATTTAAAAAATTGGATTATCTTATTAAATTGCAAGAGTTCTTTCTATAGTTACTAGTCTTTTTCAGATATGTTTTATTCTCAGGATGTGGTTTGGTTTTCATTTTTCTCGCAGCATGTTTTGAAGTGCCAAAGTTTTTGATTTTGATGAAGTCCTGTTTGTGCTTCTTTGACATATTTAAGAAATCTTTGACATATCCAAAGTCCTCAAGATCTCTCCTGTGTTCTAGAAGTTGTATAGTTTTAGCTTTACATTTAGGTCCATGATCCATTTTGATTGAGTTAATTTTTAAATATGAGGTGAGGTAAGGATCAAGGTTCATTGTTTTGCATATGGCTATCCAGTTGTTCTGGCAACATTTGTTGAAAAGTTTATCCAGATGGAAAAACCATTAAATTGCCTTGGCTCAATTTTGTTCTATTTAACTAATTGTCCATCTTTAAGACAATAAAAGTCTTGATTACTGTAGTCTTGTAAGTCTGGAAATCAGATATTGTGTTCTCCACCTTTATTCTTATTCAGTTATTTTAGCTATTGTAGGTTCTTTGCATGGCCATAGAGGTTTCTTTTAGAATGAGCTTGTTAATTTCAACCCAAAAAAAACTTTCTGGGATGTTGTGATTGCATTTTATCTATAGATCAATTTGTGGAGAATTGACATCTTAATAATACTGAGCCTTCTGATCCACAAACATGATATCTCTCAGGTCTTCTTTAATTTCCCTCAACAATGTTTTGTAGTTTTCAGTGTATGTGTCATGCACACTATAGTTTTAAATTGCAATCCTCCTGTGCTCCTGTTTCTCTTCATACGGAATCTTTTGCCTTTTACTAAAAAGAAAAAAATGCATTCCTCCTATTATGAATAAGGTTGAAGCATCTTGATATACATTTAAGGACCATTTTTACTTCCTTTTCTGGGAGTTACCTGTACCCTTTATTCTCTTTTACATTGAAATGTCGATTTTTTTTTATTAATTAGTTTGCAATATGAGTTGCAAATACCTTTTCCTCAGTTTGTCTTTGACATTGCATACACTAGATTTTGCTAAGTAGAAAATTTTTATTTTTATATAGTCCAATTTGTTTTTTCCTTTTTGGTTTCTGGAATTTGTATAATACTTAGACCTTTCTTATTTTCCTAAGAATTCCTCACCACAGTTTATTCTGATATTTTACAGTTTCATTTTTACATGTAAATCTTTGATTCACTTCAGATTGGTCCTAATAAGATGTAGATTGATCCAGGGAGTTTTCTAGATGGTTACCTAGTTGTTACAACACGGTTAAGAGATTTGAGATTCTGACTTTGTTATATTGAATATCTATGTATATTTAGGACATCTGAATTTCCTGTTCTTTTCTATTGGTCCATTTTTTTCTTATGCACCAGGATCACACCATTTTAATATCTCGTTTAGCTAAGCCCCCCTTGTTGGCATAGGAGTTTCTAAACCTGAGGTCTGTGTATGGAGTTTGTGAAGGATAGAAAAAGTTGAATCCAATGAAATCTGTTTATAATTTTCAGTGTATATGTATATGTGATGTTTTCTGGGGAAATAGCCATAGGTTTCATTAGATCCTCAAATAGATTCATGACTCAAAATTTGAACCACAGATGTTTGAGCCACATATCCTTAAGGCAATCCTTCGTGAATGTTATTTTTTATTTAAAAAAATATAAAAAAATTTTTTTCAATTACAGTTGACATTCACTCTTGACTTGGCCCCTTCATTATATCCCTAGTTATAGTTTTGTCCAGCTAGCCTTCAGGTGGTTCTCCAGGTTGATGGTTCTATAATTTAGTTGTAATTTGTTGTGGTTGTGGGAGGAGGTGAGCACATTGCTTACATACTCCACCATCTTGATCAGGACTTGAATGTTATTTTAATAATAAAGTTTCTTTCAGAACGTAGATATAAGTAATTGCTTATACACACACACAGTATTATCTGGAAGATGCATGAGAAATTGATAACATTGCTTCTCAGAAGATGGGAACTAGTGGTTAAGAAACAGGTGGGAGGGGGACCTCATTATTATACCCTTACATATCTTGAATGTTGAACCACATGATTGTATTATCTTTTTTAAAAAAGTAAATAACATTTAAAAAATTAAGGTGAGCAACTGGACGGCTCTTCCATATTGTCCCAAGAATGAGTTCTATGGAAAGGGAACTGTTCTTAAGTCATTTACTACTAGCTTTTTTATGTTACTGAGTATAATGCTAGATTTGTTAGAAGGTTACCTTCCAAACTACTGACAATTGCATCTAGTACAAATGTTAGCTCTTTTTTTTCTTTTACAACATACATTTTTCTCTTTACAGGGAGTCTGAAGATACAGTATTACTGGTCCTCAAAGAAATCTACCAAACCCAGGGTATTTTCCTTGATCAGCCTTTACAGTAAAAATGAATCATCTATGGCCGGCTGCTTACTGTAAGTTTTTCAATGACATATATGCAGCATAGTTCCTACATATTAACATGTTATAAGGCACTATGGAGCCTCAGTCTCCTTATATTTTTCTGTTGCCTGTCACCAAGATCTAGGTTATTCATTTTTAGAGGGACTCTGGTTAAAATTCACGGGGAAAAAGTGCAATAGCCAACTTAGAGAAAGGTGTGTGTGTGTGTTGCTAGTGATATGGTCCAATAACATTTGTCACTGTTAGGATCTAAACTCAGAAGCTTAATGGTTTTGATTATCTAAGAGTTACCACAGCAACAGTTACAATTTAAATTACAAATGGCCCATCTTTAGATTTAAATTACTTGGCTTTTTAAATATGTAAGCAGAAAGGTGGCATTCTCCCTGGGTGCCTTCTAGTTGTGACTGCATGGTGACCTCTTTCCCCCTCTCTCCCCTAGACAGACATTGAGGGGTCCTTCCCCAGAAAATCCACCTGGTTTGTTGCTGCAGTTTTCCTCTTCAGCTGCATCACTTCTTGCATGTTGGTTGCCCCTTACCATTGGGGTCGTTGGAAGATAATCTTCCATTTTGAAAGTGAGTGGAAAGCAAAGGGAAGACACCCTATTATTACTACTGGGTTCATATAAGCACTTGCCGTTTTTATTTCATAGATGGGGGTGGTTTGCTCCTTTAATTCTTTGATGATAGTATATAGGTATCCTACTTTTTTGCTTATTACATGAGATGGTATAAATTCTGTTTTGAGTTTGATATGTTTTAGGTTGGTAGAATTTTTTTCTAGGAAATGTTCTAGTTTGGAAATAGACTTGAAATTCAGAAGGCATTTGGGGTACACTTATCTCTCATTAGTGGTCTCTGCATTTGAAGGCTAAGTGGATATGGAAAAAAGTGTCAGGCAGTCAAAATCTTTTGGGCTATCTTTCTTACAAGTCCTATATGAAGTCTAAAATGTAGCTTAAAATAAGTATAGTTTATGCTCTACAGCTGACTGACAGATTTGTTGCTATGAATCACTGTTGCTGTTTATTGTTTTTACAGCCATTTGAGCTTCTCTGAGAGTCTAAAGTGGACCATTTAGTTCACATTACATGCATCTTTATAAATCGAAGATGTTATATCTCCTACACCTGCCCTTTGATATCATACTTCATATTGGGAGACTAGATGAATATCTGACTTAACTTTTGTTCTTTAATTGAAGGTGAAGCTATAAAGGCTGACAAACCTGAAATTGCACAGCCTTGACAGACTGGTGCATTTATGGTGAAATAGAATTTATGTAAGTCACCTGCCACATCCACTTGGGTGATGGTAGCATTGTGTGTCCTCTTTAAAAACACTTTGTAAACATCATTGCCTTCTCAGGTACCCACAATCCAGAATGCTTATTTAAAAGGCTCATGGCATAGGCATTGTTGGTTGAGCAGGTAGGTTTGGCTGAGGGGAAATTTTTCTTATTCTGAAAGAAAAACATATGCCTGCAGGGGCCAAGGAACAGCTATTGAAGAGTCAGTGTCTGAACATACAAAGTGAGATGTACCTTGAAGAAGGTGGGTGAATATAGACTAATTTTTTTCCAAGGCATCGGCTCACCACTGTGCTAGAGGTTATTTTGTTTTTCATTGGTCAGTTTGTTTTTGTCTTTGCAGTTTTCTTTGTGATACACTCCTCTCAGATTCCACAGCCCATTGTTTATAGTGAGGCATAGCCAGGCAAGCTGTGTTGTTTTTTATGTTTTTTGTAAATGTATCATGGTGTCCAAAGCACTGGCATTTAACATTCACTTAAGCCATCCCTTTCTGGAGAGAAAAGGGAAGGTTAATTCTTACTTAGAGATGGTAGAAGTAAGGTTGGGGTATAGGTCAGAGCCTGGCCTTTCCTTGTCTGTCTGATTATCGACAATTGCTGACTAAACCACTAAAAAGTTTCAGATATGTGGAATATTTTCTTTACTACATAAATTGAGTTTGAAGGGTTACTGAGAATTAAGTAGCATTCAATATATATTAAAGGGAAAGCTTTTGTCAAGTTGTTTTCAAATTTAAGTTTACTTTTCATATTTAGCCAGAATTGGTACTATTTAGGAGTAACCAAATGATAAGCAAGAGTGAGTCCTTGTAACCAAAGATGAACAGCATAACTCTGGATAGCTAGATAAACCACTGCTAAGAAATGTTTCTTTTCTGTGGTATTATCATGGTTGTATATTACATGGGTAATAAGCTCGATTTAAATCCTTTATTTAGTGGTATATCATTTGCACTATTTCAGTTGTATCATGTGCAATCTGTTGACCAAGCCTATTTTTAAACTCTGATAGAGTATCATTTTATACATATTCCCAACTGCAGAATTGGTATTGCTTAGCAAAAGAGATTTGTTTGCATGGAAAGATTAATAGCATTGATTAGCTTTCTAATATTTTGCACTTTTTGAAATGTCTGTTTTTTTATGTGATTATATTTAAAACTCTAGTAAATATTGAAATAAAACCACATTGACCCATCGCCTACCTTTACCTGGTTCATCTGTCATAAAGAAAATCAATATAATAACCATTTTCTCTTCCTCTATAAAACAAGTTTAAAAAATAAAAGTTTTGGGCAAGGAACATGACATTCAAGTTTTTGTCCTTTGACTCATGGTGTTTTCATTGTCCTAGGCAGGTGTAGTTCAGAATTTAAAGCGTGGCAGTTATGAGGTAAATATTGAGCCTCTCTTTTGGTATTTATAATCGTCAGCCACTGCTATAGATAGTTGAGTCATTTATGTGAGATGGGGAATCCAGTGTTTTACTTTGGAAATGTTCCAGCTTTCAAATAGTACTTCAGTACCAAAAAAACCCACATTCACCATTTTATTTGCCTGTCACATTTACTGAAGGAAAAAGATACATTGAAAATGTTATAGAAAGAAATAAGGTCATATTTAACCTCAATAAAGAGAAAGGTAGTTTTAGGTCCTATAGAATCAATTTTGATGACATCCTATAATTGTTCCTCATAGTTCATTGTAAAGAAGGGACAGAAAAAGATTCACCTGTCATCCAGATAATGATATCTGTAATTTTTCTTTCCTGCCTTAGGCAGTTGGCAGAGTTGAGGCATTTGGGCAGATCTTCAGCCATGAAGGGAGGGAAAGAAGCTCATGAGCACAGTTAAGGACAAATGAGGTAGAAACAGTCATTAGTTAGCACGAAAACCACACTCTTAACCATTTTCTTTCTTATTGTTTACTTGGTAATTCAACAAATCATTTTATGCCAACAGTATTAAAAATGAACAGCGTTATCTGGCTGGACTTGGACAAGATATACATAACAATGGTAAACAAGCCAGAAATAGTAAATAGAACCAAAATAATTTAGTTGGTCACGCCCTAGACTTTAGATTTGAGCTATGGGAAATGATATTTTAATATTTAACTCCAGCTTCTAGGATAAAATGGGGCTATGTAAAGGCTTCTTTGTGACAAGATCCTTTCAAGAACATTTAAATTTAAATGGAAAAACACTGTAGATCTTGAGATACCAATCTGGTGGACCAGATTCATATGCTGTTGGAGGACTATTCAAAGATCTCTTTACCAGAATGTGTGGCATACAGTAGTGAAAAAGAAACTTGACTCCTCATGATAAATTCTTGTGAGCCAGAGGCAAAACTGCATAGTCATAGGGAGGCAGAATGAAGTGCTGATGTCCTCACTTGTACCTAAGAGGTAAAAAGTAAGAAGTTCTAGGAGGGGCTGATTTCACCTAATCTCTACTGAGGTAGCTCCAATTTCTAAATATCAAAATGATAAGGATCATCAGGCTTCTTTTGTGCAGTAGGAAGTGCAAGTCTGTTCTGAAATGGTTTATGGCATTCTGCATCAGTCAGGGGAGGATAATACTGCCTGTAGCAGACATAGGCAAATGTCAGGCCAATCACGGATCCAACTAGTACATCTGAAGAGAGAGGAGATAAAGTCTTCTCTTAATCATATTAGACTCTAAAATCATGTCAGATATCGCATAGTATGGAGAACTTGGCCCTCTAGGTTATTCTAATTGTTTGGGCTGCAAAACCCTACAATTCTAGGTTCACATTTTCTTTAGGCTTTCTCAGTTTTATCATATAGTTACAGGATTATCATTTTCAGGTTCTCTAAACACCCAATCAAAACACATCTTTAGTTAAGTATAATAAGCCTTTTTCCAAGTACACTAGATTAATTTTTTTTTTTTTAACTATTTAAAGAGTTCTAGAGGAAGAAATAAACTCTTAAACTCTTCAGGAGTTTATAACTCTTTATAAAATAGGTCTCCTAAGGATATCTGGGCTATACTGTCACCTTTTTTTTTTTAATTGTGGGTTTTCTGTGAAGATGTTCTATAACTTGGATGTTTTACTATACCAACTTAAATTTCTTTAGTTTAATTACAATTTTATGTATTCTTGAATTTTACCTTTATTTCTGAACAAAATCTCAAGACAAACTTGATTTTTATTTTAAGACTAAGTATATTGAGCTTTGAGGTTTGTTATAAAAAATTTCTTATAGTTTATTCTATACTTATGATGCTTCAAAATAATGGAAAAATTAGGACATTTTTCCTTTAAAAAGTCAGTGTACTTTCTCATCCTCCATGTAGCTATAAACGCTTACTTAGTACAGAATCCAGACCATCCCATACACATTTGTTCATTCACTCAACAGGTACATAGTGTGAGCATCTCCCTTTGTGCCTGGTGCTAGGAATAAAATGAGTGATACATGGAAGCTTCCATAGCATGAATACCTTGCTTACCTTGCCAGTGATGCTTATAGTCACAGGTGCGGGACAGTGCAATTACAGCTGCCAAAAGTAGAGGTGACAGAAAGGCACAGAACCTCCAAGATTTCCCACGGCCTTGTGGTGTGAAGCAATGTAACTTCCCTGCCAGGTAGAAGGAAGCAAAGGCCAGACCAGCAAATGCAACTAGAAGAGGAAAAACCTATAAATGTGTCTTTTAGTTAAAGGAAGCTATGTCATTCATCTGCAAACAGGAGGCCAGGAAACATGAACATGTTTTATCCCCTTTTTTGTATACTTCAGGAGTAGATCCTTGATTATGAGGGAGAAGGAAATGAAAGGAAAAAATAATGGACTTTGGGCAGGTTACTTCTCAATGCTTAGTTTCATTATGAATAAATGAGAATCATAAAAATAATAGTGCCCACCTTATTGGGCTATTACAGTATCAAATGAGGTAAGAATCTAAAATGCTTTGCAAAGCACTTGACACATAGTAACTAACTCTTCAATAAAAGTTAGTTAATATTTTTATGATTAGTACAAGATTGTAGGATCTAAGCAAATAATAATAAAATATTCAAATCTCCTGAAGGGGAAACTACTTCCTGTCCTTGAATATTTACCCCCTAACATTCGAGGCTCAGGCTTGTGAAATCTTGTGGTTCTTAAGGGGCGGGGGGAGGTTCTTCCATTTCTAGATACAAGAACAAGCGTACTGAGATGTTCCCATCCTCACAAACTTCCTAGGTTAAATTCAGTGATCTAAAAAAAGGCACAGAAGTAGAGTCCATCTGGTATTCATACAAGAAGAATGTCCACTAGGGAAGCTCTTACGGCCCTCATTCACCACGTCCTTATCTCCCGTGCACATCAAGTCAGAATGGGCTTGCCCATCAGGGAAGCAGCGGTAGAAGAAATCTGGGCGTGGCCTACAGGAAATGAGCATGGTTTGAACACAATCATTTACAACTCCCGAAATTATTTGATGGTGTATCTGACATTACTAATCCTGTTAACTGTTGGTCTAATAGTGTCCAAGACAAAATAATGAGACTGGATCAGGATAGTCACCACTAAGAAGCCTTATTTTCAGGGTCAACATTTAAATTAGGAGAAAAAAAAGCCACTCCAGCACATGATTACTTTTTTAGGGTAAAGAACAAGTGATAGTACAGCCACAAGGGGTGCTCTAGAGGCCACTGACTGCTGTGGTTGTCAGTGGGAAATGCTGTTCAGAGCAGAAAAGAGCCCACCTGTCTGTCACCCACAGGACTGATGTCTTTTGAAAGGATAAAGTGTTAAATGAGAAAAAGATTAGACAATATGGAGGAAAAGGATAAAGATGGAGTGCCATTAACCATCTCTCCTGCTTTTTGCTGAAGGAAGGGCTGAGGCAGACACTGGGGTGGCTAACTTGTCACTTACCTTCCCACTATCAGTTTTATTGTGTTGGTGAAAACACCATTCAAAACCAGGGCAAGGCTGGCAGCTGGAAAGCAAAGAAACTTACTGTTAGGAGGAGGAACTACGTGATCACTGTCTCATTAAGAGGAGCCATGGCCTTTCTGAAATAGAGGAATGGTTGGGCTCCAGTCAGAGCTGAATATAAAAGTAATATGGCTCTCAGTGACTGACTGCTGTTTTAGTACAGGGAGAACTTCTGTCCTAGGCTGAAGACATTTCTGAGGTACAAATAATCCAGTGCATTTAGGCACACCTGTGAGGTTAATCAGGTTCTTTATAGTGCTGTTTTTCTGTCTCACAGGGTAAGAAGTGGGATGTAGGGGAGATAGAATTACTTCAGAAACGTAGAACTCAGTGGCCTCCAACACTGAGGCCACAGTGTCAATGGCTGAACCCCCAATTCTTGCCTTTTCATTCCAGCACTAAGACAAGACAACATGAGCTAGAAAGGGTTAGCTCTTACCTAGGCAGGCTTGTTTGCTGTCTGTTGTGTCTGCCTTCTTGAGACATTTGGCCAGGAGGATCAGAGACAGCGGAGAGAGAAATGCTATGACCTGAACCAGAATACGCCAAAGGTTAAACAAAATAAAACCACAAAACTCCACACAACTGGTTGTTCAAATAGCTCTTACAGCGAAGAGGGATGGAAGTGGCAGCAGAACTCACATATCAGACCCAACCATTCCCCTATAAATATAAGTAGTGTTTCACTGTAGGTTAACTGGGCATTGAGCAGTGACCAGTAAATACACCATTATTCTAAATGACCGGTTACCTCAGGCCATCCTAAGGAGTAGAGCTCACAGATCATGTCTCGAGCCAAAATAGACTAACATCTTGCTGTCTAAATCTGGATCTTAAACATTATGATGCAGAACTTTTAGCATAGCAGGAAGCAAAATCTTAGCACATCAACAAAGGGGCAATAAATTCCCTACAAAGATCATTTTGGAGCCCACTGACCACTTTCAGCTTCCTAGCATTAATCTCAGTAATAAGTATTAAGGGGCAGAAGGAAGGGCTAGTTCTCCAACGCACAAACATCGGCTTGGTTGGGAAATAGTCTGCTTCCACGTACGGATTCCGGTAAAGCCACATCTCCTCTGGTTGGATAAGCCTCTGGAAGGGAGGGAGACGCTCTGTTACCCTAAAGGGGAAACAAAAAGTACAGAGCACGTTGGTTTGCTTCCTCCGGGTTTCCCAGGGAAGGACCCTGACCTTGGCCAGCTGGGCGTGACACCGAGAGCGCCGGGTAGCCATGGCGAGGACCTTCCTGCCTGTTACTTAAAGGGTCGCAGCCCATCCGTCCATGCAGGAGGGTGCGGGGCCCTGGGATCCGATCCCCAAACCGCTTACAAGAAGGCAGTGAGCAGCACAATCCGCACCCCCAGTTCGGCCCCGAAGACCGCCGCCGCTGCCACCTTCCCCATCCGGTCGCACAGCCGGGAGACAGGACGCTGCACTGACGTGGCAGCCGCTGCAGCGGGGACGCAAGGGCCGTCCCGAGGCCGGATCTCAGCTGCTCTCAGCGCGGGCTGGCGGGCACTCGGGGGAACTGCAGGCCAGAAAGGTTGTTCAGCCACCTCCTTACCCAGACAGCTCAGCAATCCCCCGGAAGCAGGAGTGGCAGCTTTGCGGTGTTCTGAGAGCCAGCACCCAATAAAATAAAAAGCAAGCAGTGTTGTTTTCTAGTACATTCGGCAGGGAGCTAGTTCTAGGTGTCCAGCCAGGCAGCAGGCTGCCTTTGGTCTGATAAACCAGAGGGATGAAAGTGATGACTCTCTCTCCTTCAATGTCCTTCACCTGTGCCTTGATAGTCTCATACCACATCAAAGCAAGGAGCAACATTCTTCAAGGACCTTTACCCCCATTAACACAAAACAAAATCCTCACATTTTCAGATCCAAGTTTATTAGCAGCACAGCAGCATTCTGAAGAAAAATATACTTAGTTCTCACACAGGACTTTGCTGTGCTGCAGGCCTCACTGGCTGAGGGTGGACATATTAGGTCATTCAGCCCGCAGCTAGGTCCCCTCCCTCCCATGAAGGCCTTTGCCCAGTGTGTTGTAGCAAGAAATTACAGGCAATGAACAAGTCCACATATTTAATTTGGAACATACAGGACAATTTATTGAAGTCAATCTCAAGCAAAATCTGTAATCAGTGGAATGTCATTAAAAACCTTTCCAAATTAATCCTCACAAAAGCAAAAAACACATTTGAATCCAAAGTATTTGTAAAATAAAAAAGGCAACATTTCAGTAAATATACAAAAATTATATGTTCCTACCAGCACACACAGTAGTAAGCAGCTTAAATATTACAGGCAATCCTAAATACACTATAACTAGTCAACTGTAAGCTATCTATATACAGTTTAACCAAGTTTTGCACATTTCACACTATGCAATAAAACATAGGCCAATCAACAAAATCCCCAAAATATCATATATCTTGAAGTCTGTGTGGCAACATGAAGTCAATATACAATAATGCCCTAGTGGAACACCCCCAGGGAAAATTAACACTAATCCCTTAGTGTCAAGCTTCTAGCCAAGTTACAGAAACTCAAAAGAGATTGACTTTAGTGAATATTGATGCTGTTATTAAAGACTCAAGTCTCAAGTGATTTAGGCAAAATAACATTTCACAGGATCTACAAAGTTTATTACAGATAAACAAAGTACAGAAATAACCAATCTACAAAGGTCGTTATCATAAAGATCACAAGGAAATGAAAACATCTGTTTGTTGTGCAATATCACAAGTGGATACAAATGAATTTCTCTTATCAATTCCAATTATGCACACACCCTTGTATATAAAAAGAATCTTATTAGCCGGTTGTAATCATCATTTAGCATTTTCGCTGTCAGTGGCAATATGATTTTCTTTTTCAACATAGGGTATGTGACAGCACAAATAAAATAGCGATATAAATGACAACAAAGTAAATTTTATCCAGTCCACTTCTAAACTGACAATACCTTATAAATACCTTATCCAGGTAATGCGATGGCCATTGAGAGCCATTCACACATATCAGAAACCTGTGGCCAGTAGGGAAGGGGAATACTGGAACCTGAGGGTGCTTTCTTGCCAATATGCAGATGCCATAATGTCATATAAGAAAACTAAAGACTGAATAAATGACTTTGGCAACTATTTATCGTTTCCCTTTTTCTTACAAATTAATGACTTTTAGAGGCTGCTTAAGGACAGGTAATTCTCTTCCTCCTTCTTCTACATACATATGTGCCACAAGAACCTGAACTTGTCACTTAAGCAATGGACTGATGAAAAAAAAGAATGGAAATGGTTTTTGAAACACATA